GGAAGAGAGTTCCATTTCCTTTTAATTTTAAACATTTGTTGTGGGGGGGGGGGTTAGGGCCCGTTGAATCCACCACTGCATCCGAAAAATATTTACAGACTTAATTTGTTCATAATCGAGATGAGAAAAATTAACAATCAAAGTTTGAAATAGAAATCAAATTGGCTTGTATCACCGTCCGTGTGGTACCCCCGTCGGGAAGAGCTATAAGGGGCTAAAATCGATTAAAAACGATATTCAAATCGCTAAATTGTCCGATTCGCCCCTCGGACCCCATATAAACAGGAACTTGGTCCCCTGGTCTCACCTATAGTAATTAATGGTCTTCCCGTCGGGGAAGTTGCCTCGCACTCATTGGGCAGATCCTGGCGTCACCACTACATTACCTTCTTCGCTGTTTGTTTCATAACATCAGTAGATTAAATGCTAGTCTGGCACTTTATAAATACTGTAATTGATTTATTTTGAAGTCAATCATCGTCATCAGATGCATAGTCGTCACCATCATCCTCCAGCCAAGAATGGGAACATCTGCCATGTGCGGAATGCGAATAATGTAGGCAACGTGAGCATTCGGTACATTTATTTTATTATTTCAAATAATGCAAAAATATTAATACTGTACGTATGCAACATAAAAACCGTGAGCAATTTAACTACTGAAATAGACAACATTCTAAAATGCACTACATACACATTAAATAATAATTAAAAACTATGTAAAATCCTCAATTTAAACTAGTTTCATACTGCTTTACTTATTGTTATTAATGTGACAAAAAGCTTAATCAAAATTGGCATTAAAAATACTGTCTTATACGATTGCAAATCAGTTTGTTTCTTGTATCTCTAAGAGCATAAAACAAAAAAATAAAATTAGAACGAAAATTTTGCAATACAGTATATACCGTAATTGATTTGATAAACATCCTGGATGTTTCCTGAAAGACAATGATGGCATGAGGATGTACATTCAGTCAAGAGGGCTGATAGTTTCCAATGGAAAACCAGTGGGGATACAGGGGCGAACCCCTTGCAGTGTCCAGGGAGAAAAGCCCCAGGGTTTTACAGAAAGGCACATTTGGTACATCTTAGGCTGATCTGAAGTGTTTTTGAGGTTAATATTGTGAAAGAATTAATATCTTGTAAATTGTTTTGGTCGAAGGAGTCATGGCCTATGGGGGGGGGGGGGGTTGGGTTTGATTGGCCTGTCCAACAGGGGATGAAGCCCCTGTAACCCTACTGTGTCCACCACTACCAAAAAAAAAAAAAAAAAAAGAAAACAAAAGCGAATGGATCAATATAAGAAGTTTAAATGATGTACAGCCTTGTCATTTTCTGTCATACCAACCACATTGTTTATTGTTTCATCATGATGTTTGATGCCTCTCATGTAACTACAAAGAATGTACGAGACTGCTCTTTCCATAGTTAATGACTAAAAATATCACCATCTTCAGAAATCATTTAGTGAATGTGCAAACAAAAATCTTAAATTTAAATATCATTAAAATTCATATTAAAAATAATTGATTTACATACATTTTAGCTGAACCACAAACAATCTGTTCTAATTTCCATTGAAGACGTTTAATACACAGCTAAAAGGTTTAAGATATTAACCTTATATGCATACAAAGGCTGCTTAATTTTTGTTACTTGTTACAAACACAGATTACATTTGAAGAATATACATTGCTTTCTAAATATAAATTGCTAAAATTCCACATACACCTATTAATACTGGTGAAAAAGAAAAATAAATCAAGATCAAATAGGCTAATGTCTGTCTCTTATACACATCTAGATGTGTATAAGAGACAGGAAGTTTAAATGATGTACAGCCTTGTCATTTTCTGTCATACCAACCACATTGTTTATTGTTCCATCATGATGTTTGATGCCTCTCATGTAACTACAAAGAATGTACGAGACTGCTCTTTCCATAGTTAATGACTAAAAATATCACCATCTTCAGAAATCATTTAGTGAATGTGCAAACAAAAATCTTAAATCTTAAATCTTAAATATCATTAAAATTCATATTAAAAATAATTGATTTACATACATTTTAGCTGAACCACAAACAATCTGTTCTAATTTCCATTGAAGACGTTTAATACACAGCTAAAAGGTTTAAGATATTAACCTTATATGCATACAAAGGCTGCTTAATTTTTGTTACTTGTTACAAACACAGATTACATTTGAAGAATATACATTGCTTTCTAAATATAAATTGCTAAAATTCCACATACACCTATTAATACTGGTGAAAAAGAAAAATAAATCAAGATCAAATAGGCTAATGTACTCTATAAAAAAAACCTAAGATGACAGTGCTATAGCTTTATGATCTATTTAAAATTTTTTTCCTATGATTTTTTTTTTATAGTGTACTTTCATTAGCATTTTAATACATCTGAAAATACATATTTCTTACATCTTCTGTAATGCTTCTATTTATTTCTACCTTGCGATAATTTTTTTTTTATAAACATCAACATAAATTCTGTTAAGCTTAATTGAATAAAGCAACTGATGAGATTTAATTTCATGATATTGTAGGTTTTTTTGTGCTATTACTATAAAAATCAACCACATGCTAATGTATACTTTGCAACATAAAGCTACATTACAGACCAAATTACAGGCCATAGGATATTTATCAGAGGTGTAATTTAAGCTTAATGGCACTAAGACAAACAACACATATGCAAAGGTGAGTTATGTTCCCAAGATCATAATATTGACCAGATCCAGGGGCCAAGATGTAAAAACTCCACTAAAATAGTAGCACAAAGAGTATAGAAGTGTTAATTGTATACTTAAGTCAATTTTGCACTAGACGAATTTATTTGCGTAAAAAAGCGAAAGTGCTCGACTACGCATGTGCAGTTCAATTTTCATGCGCATGTCCCAAGATTGTTGGCTTTTCCCTTGTTATGGTTTGTTTCGCACAATTTTGGTGTCCTAATATTTTCCACGTTTTGCGAAGTTAAATAATGCGCAGCCAATCAGAGCTCAGCCATTTGTATTAATTGTATGTAAAATAGGTATTTTTTAAGGTTTTGTAAATTATTGTTATTGTATTTTTATATCGGTTTAATTTCAATTACCTATTACCTATCATAACTATTAATAATTCTATTTTTGTAAGAATTTTAGATATTAGTTGATGATGTTCTTGTGAAGCGCCTTAATCATTTTGGAAAAATGCTATATAAATCATATTATTATTAGTATTTGTAATCGCAACGTGGGAACAATATCTGTGAAAAAAACAATCGCAAATCTTTTCGTTTATGGAGTGAAAAATAAGCGCTCAAATTTTTTGTGGCGAAACTTTACATTTCATGCGAATAAATTTACCTAGGGGAAAACCGCCTTAACACATTAAAATGCATCGCCCATGCATCCCCATTCTAAAGGATCTATAGTTGCACAGCCAGTCATGAGTTATTAATATGAGTTTTTTGTACGTTCCTGTTTACAGCCCTATAGGGAATTCCTAAGTGCTGGCTTATTGATCTGTGTTAAAAGACCTGACATAGCAGCTTGGTTTTATAGACTTGGAAGTCCAGGTACCTAACATTTAAAAATGCCACACACACATGTGTCTGATTTCAACATCATCCAACAAAACATTTCACATTTGACTTCCTCAAAACATAAAAATATATCTGAAATGTACAGAACATGATGTATCACACTACAAACACAGAGGTATTCTAAAGGCAAACCTAGAGAATGTCTGATGATATTTAAAATTTCTCACGACGGGTTAAGACTGTCCCCGACCATGGAACTACTATACATAGTATTTAATACAACTTTGCATGCAAAGAAAAACTAACAAGGTGGGTTTATGTCCTTAAAAGTAACATCTATTGTTTATATTATTTATTATACCATATTTATAGTAACATTTAGAATTTCATTTTCAATCCATATTTGGTTATTTGTTTTTTTCCTTTAATATGACAACATATGATGATTATAATGCTACTTTTGATGATTGTTATCATCTTCATTGTCAGCCTATTGGTCCATTGCTATGAAAGCCTCAACACAGTGAATAATACCATGCATGAATGCTGGTATGGTACAGTGAAATGACCAAATAAATAACCTATACAGCTATCCTGAAAAATAGTCATAGGGGGCCTACACATTAATTATTAGCCTGGCTTCCAGGCCAGAATTTGTATTACTGTACTCAGTGAATACTATGAAAGACAATCCTTTTACTGCTCTCAATGCGTACCATACGCAAACTAAGTTGGCCTCCCATACTGTTATTTTTTTCTGAATTACATTGCTTGCCGTTTCCATTACATTGCTTGCCGTTTCCATTACATTGCTTGCCGGTAGTGCTCTCCCAAAGGAGGTAAATACAAATAAATAATAAGAATCTATTAAAACATCTACACATTGCAATTTTGTTTAATTTTTTTATATTAAAGTATAATTGAAAAATTTATCCATATTTTTTTATACAATAACTTCACACACTACTAGCAGAAAAAAAAAATAAGCAAAAAAGTAAAAAAAAAATTCCTAGGTGTTGAACATAAAATATTAAGTTTAAAGGTTGATTGACATGTGTTGGCCAATGTGCATAAATTTTGGCCATTCTCTTTATAAAAATATATGTGCTAAATTCATGATATCTGGAATATCAAAGCATGTTAATATTGATGTGGATCAACATCTTATTTTCCAGACAACACCTGAAATTCTAATTCATCGTCAAGAAACTTTTGCGTCACGCTGGTGATAACTTCTGCCGTTATTTCTTTATCTGGCGCTCGGTACCAACGCTGCTCGGGAATATCAAGAACTGCTAGAAGAGGCAATTCTTCGTCCTTCACTTTGAGGAATTCCAGAAGTGAGCAAACAATTTCATCCTAAAAAAGAAAAAAGATATTTGTAACTTTGGAATATCTGAAAGGAATTTCAAATGGAAATTGTCTAATCTGCAGATTCAGTTTAGAGCTATTATACATGTACAATAAAACTGAATATTTGAGATGCTTTTGTACATTTAGATCAGTTATTTTAGCTTTCAACTGAAAACTAGATCAAGAAAACATTTTTCATTCCAATTAAAATATATAAATATTACTGCTTCTATATTCTTAGCACAGCCAAATTGGCTTATAATAAATATTCAGGATTTATTTTATGGTAAAATCCATTAACCTGGAGAAATTGAATAATATCAACCCTTCTCTTTGGAAGTTTTTTTAGATGAGCATTAAATCAATTTTTGAATTGATTTTCATTCCTTTGCATTTTCCAGATTTACCTTAGACAAATATCAATGAAATTGCACTAATATTCTATACTTTAATGTTGTAGTAAATGTAAACAATCATAAAAATATCTGTTCAAATGTAATGAAAAATAATTGATTTTTGGCAGCAGACTTTCACTGAATAATAGTGAAAAAAAGAGCAATGTAAATCTCCCTGACTATTTGTGTATTACAGTACTTGTATAACATATGCATTGTAATTACTACATGTGCTATACTAACCAACTGTTGGTTTACTCCTATTAATGGAATTCCGATTCATAATTAATCTTTATGCTTATTTCAATTGAACTGAACTGAATAAAATAGTAATATCTACTTCTTTTCAAATGGATGATATTGCCAAATGTACAGTTCTTCTACAGTATATTGTATTTTAATATCAGTGAGAAATTAAATTGAACAAAATTTGCAATTTAGGTTTATCATATAGTATTAGTAAAAAATAACAACAGTAGCACTCCAGAATACACATTAAGAAAATTCTAATGGTAGTATTAAAAAATATTAAATCTGGAATGCATAGTAGATTTTTGTAAATCTGTAAGTGTGAAAAAAATTGCTCCAACTGAGATTTGAACCCGGGACCTTCTGCTGTCTATGCAGTTATATAATATACCATAATATTATATTATGAAATTAGAACAACCATTTTTTATTTTTTTATGATACAAGATGCAATGTCTTTGTTTAGATTTTCAAAAGTTTACATTTGATTGGTTTGACCTCAGCTGACATTTATGTTAATTACAGTATTTTTAGTGTGTATGTTGATCTAGTGATTTGGTAGTGAATACAGTAATAACTTTGAATGACTTACTGATCCACCGACAAAGAATATAGGCACATCATCACCAGACACCTTAGCCTTCTCAATAAAGCTTGCAGCTATAGGTTCCATCATTGCCAATTCACTATCAACATTTTCAGCCTCAGAACCTGAACATAATAGAATCAAGTGGAATTGACCAATGAGATATTGATATAAACATGATCAATATTTTTTAGATATATAAAAGATAACCACTCACTAGTGAAATATACAACACAAGGCTCTTCATTGATTGGCGAAGAGGTTCCCTCATTCAGCTCGTTCACTGGCTTTGGTAGCCATGGGAACTCCTGAAATAAAAGCAACAATTTAAATGTTAAATTTAGAAATTACAGCTGGCATATTTGCATTGCTAACAATAGCAAGCTTACTAAAGTCCAATAATCTAAACGGCAAGTATATATTGTGATGCACTTCAAATTCTGGATGCATGTAAAGAATGATACATATAATTTTCACTCATTATCTCTTCTGGATAATGTAGCATTTCATATTACATAATTTTTAAAATTTTTTGTTGGAAAGATGTTAATAATAGATGTGCATTAAAGCCAGCACAGACAGCGTTGTACAACACAGCCTGACATGATTTATCGATGGGGACAGTCTTGTTGTCGTGAGATATTATACGTGTTTAATATTCTACTTTCCCTGACTCAGACCTATCACATTTACATTTAGCTCATCATAAAGATCCAATGCAACAACAAACGTGTCGGGCTGTGTCGTACAACGCTGTTAGATTTAGAGACGCTTATAGTTACCTTGCCCTCTGGATCCCTCTTCACACTTTCTCTACCACTACTAGTTATTAGTTTCCAATTCTCATCCAGCACAACTAAGGCAGGGATCCCTGATTTAAAAAAAAAAAGATTTATATTCCATTGAAAAAAAAAAGCATTATTATTCAAATAATGTTAAGCATTCTGTTATTAACCTTTGTTATGTCTTGATTCTGTAATGTGTATGCTTATTTTATTTGATATAAACATTGAACATAAAATTTGGAAAAAATACAAACACAATGTAGATGGTAATTAAACTTAAAATATAATCATGAGTACAAATAAAGGTAAGAGAAGTAGCACATAAAAGTGATTAAAAACCAATTATATTGAACAGGGTTGTTATAATTAGGAGATACTAGTCAATATTCAATACAGGATGTTTGTTTTGAGTAAAGGATTATCAGTGTCAAAATTTATGCTGCTGTTGTGACAAAGAGATCAGTGAAATCAGTTTCAGTGAAACCAGTTTTACTGAGATTTCGAAAGTCAAAGGAAACAAGGAAAACCACAAAAAAAAATCCTTAATCAGTCTTTGTGCCAAGTCATAAATTCTATTTTACTGATAAGCCAAGAATTTATTCCAAATGTTAAAGTTTAAGTTTGAAATATGGCTTTACCCTGGAAACCAATCCAATATCTATTTTCAGGCAGCTGATGCAAGGCACTAAGTCTGGATCACATGTCGGCAGAGTGCAACAATGACTTTTTTGGGACAGATAAATTTAGACTGAATTTATCTGAATAAACTATAAATATGGTTATCACTAAATCATTCATTAAAAGTATGCATCCTTATAAATGTCATTTTATATTGTTTGTTTGCTATTTTCTTTATAGTATTCATAATTTGATAAGACAATTCTTTTGATTTTATAATATTATAATTTAATTTAAAGAAAAATCTTTTTCTTCCTTGGTGTATTGTTTAATATTTGAAATAAGAATATCACTGATTCAATTATTCATTTAGTATCAATTAGTATTTCTTGTTATCTATCCAACATAACACTATGCTGATTAAATGACCCTGTGGTCAACATGTCAAAAAACATGAATAAATTAATTGAGGATTGAAGAGTTCTTAGAGGAAACAATAAAAAAATATTAAGCTACAAAAGTGGAAGGATGTTGATGCCTGTACTTATGACACTGCATTGCTTCCTTCTAAAATGCTGAATAATGCATGCACAGCAATTTCATACACAACAATCAATCTTAAATCAGGCCCTGTTTCTTTGGTCAAGTGGCATATTAAAAAATCTCAATCAAACCGTTAACCAATGCACAAAAGACAAAGAAACACAAATTAGATAATCTATTAGCGCCTCTTCTATTGGTCCCAACTCTCCCGGAAATTTGGGATGGCCGCCAGAACTTCTGCGAACAGGTGAATAATCTCCCGGAAATTAATACTTCTGCAAATTCATATTTGTATGCTTAAATATTACTGTTTTATCAACTACTGTATCTTCCGGAAGTCAGCTGATGATAGGTATCACCACATGCAGAAAAAATACAATTACATGTGTGTTCAGAAAGCTAATTTAACCAGGTGACTCGGAAGTGGTTTCTTCCAACTTGGGACGCTGCCTATTCCAACTGCAAGAAGCCAAACGAGCCATTAAAAAAAATTCTAGTGATCATAATAACCAGTGCACTGCCAAACTGATATGACTAACCACTGTGCCATAAAATTTCAATCACCGCAAGGAAGCATGTTACACCTTCAAATTCTAATAATCGCAAGACTAGCCAATGAGTGTGTAGTCAAACTGAAACAAATATATAGCACCAATCAAATTGATTTCAGGACTAAGAAATACATCTCCAAAAATGTGCAGATTTGACCAAGTACAGTCAAGTTCAACCAAGTAGGGTTATACAATGTGCAGTAAAGTGAAAAGGACTAGAAAACCAATGAACAACTGTTGAATACAAGAGTATGTAGGGTTTTAAACTGATGCATACCTGCAACAGTGCTTTCCTAACCATGGGATTAGGCCACATGCATTACGCTTGTGTCCTTGAGCAAGGCACTTTTTAAGTTTTACTTCTCTCCACCCACGAATATATGGTACCTGGTGGGGTTGCCTGTTACTGCACTGATGCTGTCCCAATGACCATTAAAGAAATGATTCGTATAACAGAAAGGAAAGGCGCTTTTATTAATGACCACAAACACAACATAAATTATCATGAATTCATGTTTAATAAAAAATTGTTCATTTACCATTGATTTCAAAAACTTGTGCCATTTCTTTTCGTCGTTCCTCGTCAGCATATGGTATTGTAAGCCACGGCATTTTGCTGTAGTAGTCTTTGAATGATTCCTCCGACCGATCAAAAGTCACAAATATCATCTCCATCTCAACTCCTCGCTCCTTAATTTTCTTGTAAGTTTCAACTAGAGCAGGAGTAAAAGTCTTACACGGAGGACACTGTGTAAAAAAAAAAAAAAAAAA